ACAACCGCAACATGTTGCAACAATATTGTTGTTGACGATAAGCGAACGAACTTACCTAGTCACTCATATGATTGACTGACCCACAACTGCCTGAAAGTGCGCTAAAAAGCATTTTTTTTTTTTTACTACAAAAACAAGTTTGGCGGTTTTTTGCCCACACAGCTTTTATTAAAAGCCACACAAAGTGTTTATTGTGCTGACCGCACACAGTTGATTGGGAAGCAAGCGCTGAAAGCGTGTAAATGCAGGTGAGAGAAGTAAAAAGAGTGTTCGCTGATTTGTTACTGTAAAAGCTGGTGATGCATTTGGCAGGTTGTAAATCAGTTGGGATATGGGAATATGGTGACAGCATCTAGTAGTTTGTGACATTTCTCCAGACAGCAGGCTACAAGCTGTCAATAAGGCATTTTTCTAAAGTTATGTCCAGCACTCATTAAGATCCCTAAAACTTTCTTAAATTTTTTTTCTAGATATGTTCAAAACATGTTCCTTTATTATGTCTACTGATACTTACATATAAGTCAGGTGTACGTTTTTTTATATTTCATTTAAAATGCTGATATTTTGTCTTGTCTCCAAAGCTTAATATCAATACCGAACTTACGGCACCAACGAAATTTTTTAATTTATTAAAAAAAACTGTATTTAACTAATTCCGAAACCAAATTTTCGGGGTGCCGATATTTCGGGATTAATATTTTTACTCGTCCATAAATCTTAATTTACGGAACCAACAAAATTCTCAAGTTTAATTAAAAAAAAAATATATATATATTTTGTCTAATACCAAAACCAAGCTTTCCAGGTCCCGAAAATAATACTAATATTTTGACTCGTCGTTTTAAAATCGAACTTACGGCATCAACATTTTTTTTAAATTTAATTAAACCTTGACTAATCCCGAAAACAAATTTTTGGGATCACAAAATTAATCAATTTGTATAGTGGAGTATAATAATTTGAGACTAATATTTTGAGTTACGGAACAAAAAAAAATTTTTTCAAACTTAAATAAAAATAATATTTTGTCTGATCCCGAAAGCAAATTTTCGCCATCACACAATTTCGGTACTAATTATTTAGTATCATGAAGTATTGTTATACAATAAATAAGAAACATTGTTATTATTATTATTTTTTTCCATTAAAGATGCTAATTTGTCTGATTTCAACATAAAATCTGATAAACTTTAATACAATTTCTGTAAAAAGCTTTATCCTATACATTTCAAATAGTGTTCAAATATCTTTCCCTATTTCTTATTGAGTCTATTTGAATTCGGCTAACTTTAAATTTCATATCACTCGCAGAGCTTCAAGATATGTGTAGTATTATTTCTATTATCACAAACTTTTTAAACTAAAGCTTCGTCGAAAGCTGCTCACATAGCCGAAGATGGCAGTGAGTGTGGGTAATAAATAAAAAAACTAAAAAAAGGCAAAAATTAACTGTCAAAAGTTAGTCCTTCGTTAGTGTCCCACAAAATTTCGGCGTTGAGTTGATGCCACCTTTATTTATTTATTTAGCGTAGTTCATAGCGAAATATTTTTGGATTAGTTTGAGTAGTGGTCTTGGCGATAATGTCAAAAGCAGGAAGACAATTTGGCGATGTGTTTCTGTATATCTTCACCCTTTAATATCTAGCGAGCTTCACAGGCCTTTACAAGTTTTAGAAGCATATATTTATGGAATCTTTCCGTCTTTTGCCTGCCAGTTTAAAGAGTTTCTTACCAATTTTATACCAAGAGAGACAAGCTTTAACTATCTACATTTATTAGATTTCTGTTTAGATTTGTACTAGTTCACTCACTATTCTTCAACCACTTTTGAACTAGTTTACTATTTACCTTTCACCCACTTTTGAAGTAGTTTTAAACTAGTGTCTTTTTCGTTAGTTTCAAAAAAAAATTATCTGCTCTTCAAGAATCCACTTCATAAACTCTTCCTATCACAAAAATACATCAGCCACATACACACACACCCAAACGTAGATAGACCTCGGCCAATTGACAGCAGCACCCAAATTTCACACGACCGCCTTGCAAAGTTTAGTTCTTGCCTCAACTCTTCAATATTCAAACAACTTTCTTGGCACGCAAGCCTTTACACACACATGTGCCGATATGCATGCACAAAGTCAAGCTTACTTAGGTAGTCACACACACATATACTCCTATGGAAATTGTTTGGAGATATACTCGTATATGTAAATGGGTCGTTTTTAGTTGTGTTTGCGAATAGTTTAACTTGATTTGCATTTAGATTGCTGGCACTTGGCTGAGGAAGATTTAAAAAGCGCCAGTTGAAGTGTATAAATGTTTTTGGAGAGTTGTTGCCTCGTTTCATCTTCCTTTTGCTTGCTGTAGGCAAAAAATTAATTTAATTTTGGAATATTTTTAAGTGGCAGGCCTAAAGCGACCAAAAAATGCTTGAAGATCCTTGTATTAAAGGCAAAATAATTGTGGATTTTTCAAGTAAAATAAATCAAAATTTTCCAAAAGAGATGAAAAATTTTATTCTTATGAGAACTAAGTGTTTTCATGTCTACGCGCATTCGATAACTTGAGTAAAAATACCTTTATATGGGAACTCATCTTATTAGAGTTCTCCACATCAATACATAGAGTATTTTCAGTGTTTTATCATTACCAAAAACATTTGGCACATGATTTTTCATGTTGTTTAGCATGAATACTGAGGACCTCACAAGCATTCGAAGTCGTTTAAGGGAATTCAGCTTTTGAATATGCTGGAAAATGTAAGCTTTGGCGTGGCACCGCCTACTCTGAAGTAAAATTTCGCGTATATCTCTCTACAAATGTGTTCAAAGTTCAAAATGTTTTCCTGATACCATCATCGGGAAACTGGTAAAACTGGAAGGTCGAAACATATACATTTTATATAACATCATTACAATTAATCTTCTTACTAACTGTAGAAAATGAGAGCATACCTTCCGGTTAGCTATAAATGGTAAACATATATGTATATATCATTCAATAAGTGGCAGTTCATAAACATTCATTCCAGGACTTAAGCTCTTTAATTGGTCATACACACCCTAACTTTCCTCAATACTTGTTAATTTGCTGCTTTAAATTCATAAAATTCTTGATTGGCCATCATGTATGTATATAATAAATAAAACTAAAACTAAAGGAAAGTCTTAAAACTGAAAACTAGTCTTTAATTATTGCTAAAATTCTTATTTTATATTAATTTTTACAATTAATTTTATTTTTTCAAA